TAAAATATTGCGGTATAATTGTACCGATAAGCGCAAAAACATGATCAGTATTTCTAGAAAGTAAAAATATAACGTGAATGAGAAAAATACGTAGGTTATGAATTTATGGGTTAAAATGGATGATTTAAGGAGTTAAGTGACATGTGGAACCCACTTTAAGTGACTTAAGTGGCATATAAGCTTGAAATTAGAATTTTATCACATTCTCTCTCCTATTTCCTTCTCCACCGTCGAGCTTCTTGTCCATTGTTGGGGTTTGGAGCTTTTTGATTTTCAACTTTTTTTCTAGACACTTTTGAGAGAAACTTCCAACTACAAAGTTGTTTCCCTTGATCTTGTGAGTGACTTTCATGTAGAGTGCACCTTGTAGGGATCATTGTTGAGGAGAAAACCTCCTTTTTAGCCAAGAAATTTGGAGAATTTTGGAGAAATTTTGGTACTTTTTGGTTTGATTCATTGGTTGGAGATCATCCCCTTAGACCCTAGGAAACTATTGTTGGTAAGTTTTCACACTCTCATTGAGTTTTCATTGAAATCATAAAATGGTTGAGGGTTTGGTTATGTGTTGGTGGGTTGATGTGGTTGGAAACTTTTAATGGTGTTGCTCCTTTGGAATTTAATGCTTAGAGTGATAAATGATGATGATTGATGCAATAAAAATTATTGGTGAAATGGATTAATAGCTTAGGAAAATTTTGAGTGGAAATTCAATACTTTGTGAGATTGATATTTTGGATGATGGTGTGATTGAGTCGTGGAGCATTGGTATGAATTAATTATAGGATTGTATGGTGTGTGTAAGGATTGAATTGAATTGAAAACTTTGGAGGATACTTCCTTGTGGAATTCGACCTATAGGGAGGCTTAAGGAAAAAATGATGTGATGAATGTTGGGTAATCAATGGTTGATACCTTGGTGCATAAATGGTTATGATGGCGAGTTAGTTCAACGATTTAAATGATTGAGATAGTTGAAATAAAGGTGAGATAGCCTTTAGGCCTAAATTGTTAGGTTGAGTATTATTGTTGTGAATTTGAGTTGACTTTTATGCAAATGTTGATGATCATGGTTATTTGATCAATATAGGTTACCTCGCACTGACTCAATAGAGGTGGATTAAGCTTGGAGCTTATGTGGAAGAGCAATACTTGTGGAGTTGAGGTAAACTCTTGGTACTAGGGATTTATCCCCTTGTGTGTTCCGTCATACCTAGTGGAAGGTAGTGGTTGGATTGTGTGCTTTTTGACTTTGTATGAAATGTATGTCCATGCATTATTGCCATGATTTGTGAGACATGCTTGGAGCATGTTGTGTGACATATCTGTGATCTCTAGCCAGTAGATGTGTATGGTTTGGACTTCCGCTGGAGATATCCCTTTGGGGGATTCCGGTCAAGTTTTGCCGTGGGGCCGTCTCTAGGAGCGGTACCAGGATGATCCAAACGTGGAACTTCCAATGGATAGGTCTCTTTTGAGTTCCAGTTGGGTTTTATCATGGAGTCGTCTCAACCATGGGAGAGACACCAGGAAGCTTCCCAGGAGTTATATGATGGGGTCTTTGAACGAAATCCTTGTGTGGATGTTCTTGGATGTGAGTCCAGTGTTATGTGATTTTGTATGTTATGCATTTTATATTATGATCATTGTACGCACATTGAGTGAGCCATGGGATGGAGTGATCCTCTAGTACCCTTGGTTTACTGAGATATATGTGTATATCTCACCCCACGTTTGGGGAATCATTTCAGGTCATAGTGAGCATGGAGGATCTTCGGGCAAGAGGCCTGCTTTGAGGAGGATTTGATTATGTTGTGCATTTGGAGAGCATAGCTTTTTGGAGGATTACCTTTGATGCACATAACATAGTGTCCAGCATTTTGGACTTGGGTTATGAACATATTGCATGTTGATATTGCCATGCTTTTGGGTGTTCATGACTAGATTCTAAGTCTTTTGTGTTTGATGTATATTTATGTCTCTTGTTTATGTTGTTATTTTGGTGAGCATAGGACTTGTCCATAGCCACATTTGGTATCTTGAGGCATTTGGAGACTTGTTGTTGTAAATGAGCCATATGAAGTTAAACTGGCAAGTAAGATTATGAATATTGTAATTGATGCATTGGTATAAGATTATGCATGATGGAAGGGCCTAGAGCCTACATTAGTACTTGTGTAAGTTGTATAATGAGTATTAAAGTGTTAGGAGTGAGTTACTTAATTCCCTTTGAAGTCAAGAAGCTGTCAAAAATGTGATTTCACAGTAAGGGAATCGATTCCCTTCAGTGTGAGAATCGATTCCCTGAAACATGGGACGTAAGGAATCAATTACTTTTGGGATGGGAATCGATTTCCTAGTTCAGAAATCGATTCCTTTTGTGATGGGAATCGATTCCTCAAAACAGGGGAGCCAAATTGGAGCTATTGCCTTGATAAACCTTTGGTTTACCGTGTTTTTAGGCTAAATATTACAAGAATTATGTAGTAGAATGCATGGAATTCAAGGGTTTAATACATTTAAGTCATAAGATAGGAAATTGAGCTGACGTTTTGATAATATTTGCTTTTTGAAGGTAAAACCAGAAGAATTGGTGCTAAAAGTGCTAAAGAAATCATGACGAAGAAGTAGCGGCTCAATATGTATCAAAGGAAACCAAAATATTACAATTCAAGGTCCAGGAAAGCACGCTCAAAAGCACAAGAGGACGCTCGAGCGTTTGGAAGCAGGAAAGACAGCCAAACTGGGCACATCAGGACGCTCAAGCGCACACATGCACGCTCAAGCGCCAAGAATACACAAATCCAGACTCGAGGAGCACGCTCGAGAGCCCAGTAGCATGCTCGAGCACTCCAAGGCAGACAACAACAGCAATTTCAGCAATTTGGCACGCTCAAGCGTATAACAGCACGCTTGAGCGCCCAAACACGTCCCAGACAGCAAAGATTCACCAAGATTTGCTGAGATTTAAGAAGATTTGTCCAATTATGATATGGAACTAAAATGAGAACATATCAAAGCTGATTCCTGAAAAGATTGAAGGAAGATTATAACAAGATTCAAAGCTCAAATCTCTTAACCAATTCACAAGATATTAATTGCATAAAGGAAACAATTGGAGAATCAATTACAAATCTAATATGGATACGGCAAGAGATGCAATGAAGGATACAAGCTCCAATGGCTATAAATAAAGAGCTTAGGGTCAGAACAAAAGACTGATTGAGAAATTCATTCATCCCCATTCATACTCCAAGGAGGAATCCTGTTGCGGAGCGCTGGAACACTGGGGAACCAAGTCAACATCACACCAATGGAGGCTTGGGGTTCTCTTTTCTTTATTATTTCTTTTCAATTCAGTATGCTAGAGTAGTCTTTTATGTAGTTAAGGGTAGATGGAACCCAATTGAATATTTATGTTTATGAATTAAATTGTCTTCGAATCCTGTTCTTTTTATAATTGAATAAATTATCTGTTTTTAATGCTTTCTATGAGTTTGCTCCTTATAGAATGATTTTGGGGAATTGTATGACAATAGGAATGTTGGTGCATGAACCCTTACTTGATAAATTTATCATAATCCCTGTGATCTAGGGATAGACATAGGGTAATTGTGCAATCTTGGAATTCTTGATCTTAATGCATGTTTTCTTGGAGAATAATCGGGGAACTAGAGTTCTTTCAAGATTACATAGATTTATGGTAACAAGGAATTGAGCCGTAATTAACTTAGAAAAAATTGATTGACAATTAAGAAACGGGTTCTTGACTCTTTAATTCATAACATAACGAGGATATTGGGGGAAATTGAAACCTTAACTATGCTTGTTTTCAATTCTTAATCAATCATCATCTTCATTCATTCTTTTTAATTCTGAATTTTCTTAATTGCATGTTCTTAGTTATTATTTAATTTTAAATTCTTTCAATTACAATTCTCTTCATCTAAATTCTCGATTGTCCAACTAAAACGCAATTAGGGAACTAGTGCTTGAAAATTCTGATCATCGTGGGAACGATCTCGTACTCCGGTACACTTTATTACTTTACGACCGGTGCACTTGCCGAGTCGCTATCAAATTTTTGGCGCCGTTGCCGGGATCGAATTCTTCAACATTAGAAGTAACTAATTAACTTTTAGATTCGACGTTTTAATTTTCTGCACTTTATACATTCTTCAAAAATATTTTTCTGCATTAAAAATCTGCATCAATTTTCTGCATATTTATTTTTCTGCATTCTTTATTTATTTTTATTTTTATTATTTTTTCTGTTTTTCTGTTTTTTCTTTTTTCTATTTTTCTGCACATCTTTTCAATCTTAGTTTATGCGAGGTACTCTTAACCCGCGAATCTTGCAGTTTGATCCTGAAATAGGAAAGACATAAAGGAAACTTAGGAAAGACGCAAAAGCAAAGAGAGCGAAGGAAACAAAGGCATCAACTTCGACGGAACCAAAGGAGGAACCTATGGCAAAAAATAATCAACTCGCTTCAAGGACGTTGGGGGATTACATGACCCCAGCTCGAGTCCCACAGACGGCAAGCATTGTTAGACCAAATATAGAGGCTAACAACTTTGAACTGAAACCGACACTGCTGCAACTGATTCAAAAAGAACAGTTCGCTGGAGGAAGCACAGAGAACCCCTATAGTCATCTCGATAACTTCTTACTTTACTGTGATTCATTAAAAGTAAATGGAGTTCCTCGTAATGCTATCTTGCTCAGGCTATTTCCATGCTCACTGAAGGATGAAGCAAGAGATTGGCTGCAGTCTCTACCTGAAGGAAGCATAACCAATTGGGATGACTTAGCAAGAAAATTCTTGGCTAGATTTTTCTCAGCTTCAAAAATGGCAAGACTCAAGGCGGAGATCACAGCTTTTGAGCAAAAAGAAAGCAAATCTTTGTACGAGGCCTGGGAACGATTCAAAGGAACACTCGGGAAGTGTCCTCAACATGGAATTAAAGCATGGGAGAAGGCAAGAATCTTTTTCTAAGGGATGACATCCAGCACAAGAACACTGATGAATGCTGCTGCAAGAGGATCCCTGAAAACAAAAACTCCAGAGGAAGCGCTGGAATTACTGGAATCTCTAGCTTCTCAGGAATTTGACAATGCCCCTGCCCCAGTTGCACAAAGGAGAGCAGGAATTATGAAGCTTGACGACTATGATGCACTCTTAGCCCAAAATGAACAAATGCTACAAATACACAAGAAACAACAAGAACAATTAGACGCCCTTAATAAAAAATTTAATCTTTCTCAAGTTTCTTTTGTTTCTAATTCTAATATTAAATGTGGTATTTGTGAAGAGGCTCATGCAACTGAGGATTGTGAATACATAAGAGCAGCGAAAAAGCCACCAGCAGAGGTCAATGGACTCTGGCATGATCAGAAGAATCAGAATCAACATCCAGGGTTGAGTCACAAATCCAACCATCAGCTCAATCCTCCCCTTCCAGTGCAACCACATACCCCACAACAAAGTAACACCTCTGAGTGGGAGAAAGCTTTTGCACAACTATGCAAGACCACTTCTGATTATATTCAAGGTGCAAATGCTTTCAGAGAGGACACATTTGCTTTCATGCAAGAGAGTAGAGCAGCACACCGAAATCAAGAAGCTTCCATAAGAAATCTGGAAATTCAGATTGGCCAGTTGTCGAAGCAATTTTCTGAGAGAGCTCCGGGTACTTTTCCAAGCAACACAGTTGTCAATCCAAGGGAGCATTGCAATGCTATCACCACTAGGAGTGGGACAGTGATTCAGCATATAGAGGAGCAGCCCGAAGAAAAGAAGAAGGATGGAGAAGCATCAGTTGAAGAAGAGAAGGAAGAAAAGGAAAATGATACAATTGAAGTTGACGAAAGCAATCCTGAAAAAGCCGAAAAGAAACTATTCAAGTGGGAGAAGAAGAAAGCTCTTGAAAGACAGAACAAGCCATTGGATCTCTCCCCATATGCTCGAATCCCATATCCTCAGAGATTAAAGAAAGATATTCAGAAGCAGCAGTATTCAAAGTTTCTAGACATATTCAGGAGGTTGCAGATCAACATTCCTTTTGCTAAAGCTTTAGAGAACATGCCCAACTGTGCAAGGTTCATGAAGGATCTATTATCAAGGAAGCGTAAGTTACAGGAATGTGAGATGGTGAATCTGACTGAGGAATGTAATGCTATCATCCAAAAGAAGTTACCTACCAAAGTCAAGGATCCAGGGAGCTTCAACATTCCATGCACTATAGGCAAAGTGGAAGTGGACAATGTTTTATGTGATCTTGGAGCTAGCATCAATGTCATGCCACTCTCCATAATGAAGAAGCTGGGGATTACTAAAGTGAAGCCCACAAAGACGATAGTGCAATTGGTTGACCGCTCTTCAAAGCAAGCATATATTGGTAAAGGTAGACAAATTCATCATTCCTGTTGATTTTGTCATCCTTGACATTGAGGAAGATGCCACAATTCCAATGATCTTCGGAAGACCCTTCTTGGCAACTTCAGGAGCACTAATTGATGTACTGAAGGACGAGCTGATATTACGGGTAGACGGAGAGCAGGCAACTTTCAAGTTCTTTGACAAAGAAGTCCCTTCATCCGTAGCTCAACCAGAAGATCAAGTCTATTTTATTAGTGAATAGAAAGGTGAAGAAGAACACAATGAGGAGTCTTCTCAAGAAGTAAGCCAAAAGTTAAGATGGAAAAGCCGAGGAGCAAGGGAAAGCATAATGAGTATTAAAGTGTTAGGAGTGAGTTACTTAATTCCCTTTGAAGTCAAAAAGCTGTAAAAAAAAATGTGATTTCACAGTAAGGGAATCGATTCCCTTCAGTGTGAGAATCGATTCCCTGAAACATAGGACGTAAAATTCAGCCACTGTGATGTTAGGAATCAATTACTTTTGGGATGGGAATCGATTTCCTAGTTCAGAAATCGATTCCTTTTGTGATGGGAATCAATTCCTCAAAACAGGGGAGCCAAAATGGAGCTATTGCCTCCATTGTCATCTGCTGGGAATCGATTCCCTGAAGTATGGGAATCGATTGCCAGAAATCAATTCCTCATGAGTGGGAATCAATTCCTTCTGTGCAGTTTTGAAAAATATGTCATTTTAAAACCCGGGGTCGATTGTATTTCTTAGTAGTGTTATAAATGATAAGTATTATGCTTCTGCAAGTTTTGCAATTATGATTACAGTGTTGGTTTTAATTGATTACGAAAATGATTAACGGTTAATAACAAGGTTTTAACAAAAAGGAAAAAGTTTACCCGTAATTTAATTAACTCAATTTCTGTTATTGTAACTGGCTTAATACCATATGTAATGTTAACACTATCGGTACGTAACAGGCTGTTACACAATGAGCCTCCAATAACTTCATTTATAACCTCAAAAAAAGATTGCTCAATGAGCATACACTGACTTCAGAGATGTGTCCCCTTTGGAAAGACAGATCACCTAGACCAATGCACCTCCATTAACATCATCCCAAACAAATTTACAGTTATAACACACAATTACCCCCTTTGGACAGTAAATTGCATGAAATAACCAAAATCATTCCTAAACAAATTTTGTATTTAATCAATTCAAGCGAAAGCATGCACCTCAATAAACAAAAATATTAAAGCAAGCATTAGAAGCTGAGAGCAATCAACACTATTATCATAATTGCATCCAAGTCGCATCATCACTTGATGCAAAATATAACAAATTAACTTATCATCATATTTTTCTTCAAAATATAAAATATAGAGTTTAATATACCACTAGCCATGAAAATCTCAAATCAAAATTGATAATGACAAAATCTGTTCGAAATATAAACTCATAAATAACATATGCATTATTCAACAATTTGTAACTTTTGATGTGTATATCCAATTAACTTGCTCAGCTCCCAATACAAATAAAAAAATATTTGAAATTTTTTTTATTCAACTCTAATTTCTTAAACACTTGCTGAAAATACGAATGAACCATAATAATTAAAAAGGAGCAATAGTAAATAATTCATCATAATATTATATTAACAAGTTGCCCACAAAATATAATATTATAACATTTAATTATAATATCACACAAGTACTATTTGGTAAAATTAAGTCATTGTTGGATTCATAAGTGCCTTATGCGCTATAGCCCATAGATGAACTTCACTCAAAAAATAAAATAGGTCTTCTTCCCCACCAAGTTGCATCCATAAATAACCCCTAACTCTGAACAAAATAGTATTTATCAAAGCTATCATGGATTCATACTTTTTTATTCATGTTAAATGCGATGTAACCCACGTGACTATCAAATAACTTTTATTTTAAACTATTCATTCCAAATAGTTTCAAACTAAATACAAAGACACCACGAGTAATGTATTTAGTTTTATCCAAATATTTTCATTGACCCACAATCATAAACATAAAATCATATTTTGAAAACTTTCAATTAAATACAACAAGGGTTTTCTAAATCCAACATAAATAAAAATATAATCCATTACGAATTTCAATTTCATAATAAAGGAAGCTTTTTTAAAATTAATCATGTCAAAAATCCAATTTTTCTTAAAGATCACAACAAATCATATATAACACCGACTAACACACTCTCTATTAAATTGATGTTATATGGGTAAAATATGATAAAATAAACTAAATGATGAAAAGAATCGAATGAAGAGCGAAATTTTACTAAATCCAAATAATATTATATCTGAATATCATTATATTCCTTATATCCGAAACGAAAACCAATACATGAATACTGGACAAAACATGCTCATTGATAGATTTCTTTCCATCAACTACTTGCAAGACATTATGAAATTGTTTCTGTCACCATCAACAAAATTTGTAAAACAATAATTAAAAAAAATATTCATTCAAAAGTACACAATTTTTCTAAAAGTAGAAACGAATCCTTTTCTGGTTGTTATACTTTAATATTTCAAATGAAACATATATTGTCAAATCAACATATAGATTGGTTGAACGAAAAACAAATGGGGTTTCAAATTCTATTTATAATTTAAGTTTGAATTGCTCTTATCAAAAACCACGACTCAAGATTAATTTAGGAAATTATATATTTAAGAAGAGGAAAACAATTACAATCCCCAAAGATGTAATTACAATCAATATCAAACAATTGGGTCCTAATTCATATAATTTAGGCTCTCATACCAAATGTAAGAAATTTCATGAAATAGGATTATATGAAATTAGAACACCAAAAGATTTAGGCTTACTTGTTGAAGACATGATTCTTGATTTCTTGAAGACTTCTTGTTTCCTATGATGCTCTGCAATGGAAAGACCAGGATCTTCCTCTGCAATTCACACTACTCCCTGATCACAACCGTCGATGGGGCAAGTTATGAAGTAACGATTTTCTAACACGTTGTGAATGCAGATGGGATCTAGCCAAACTTATTAACCATAGTCCCCTTCTCATCATGAGCTTATGAGTTAGACCTCCATCGTTACCCACACTAATTACTTTACAAATATCCAAACCCAAATCAAATGGATCACTAATTAACTGGGCTTTATACTGCACTTTATATGGATCATGACTTAGCCCATTTTTATTAAAACAAAAAAAACTACAATTGATTGAAGTTCGCAATTATTATAAAAATTTCTATCATAAATAACCCGTAAAAAACATAATAATTCACTTAAACAATCAAGATATACTATTTATAACACTGACACTCAATTCAGCTAAACATTTATAAACGTATTTTTAGTGACAAACACATTTTTAATAAGATCCCCATGCATGTGTATGTGTTTTGGTGTGTTGTGTGTGCGTATTCAATCAATATTTAACATCTTAACCGACGTATATACACGTTACATTAACAAATAACTTTTTGTAAAACAATTTTACAAATTATTTCATTAATTTAAAATTTGTTAACTTGTACGCACATAAAATTCCATGTTAAACTAAAAGAGAAGCAATATATCCTACGAAGAGCTTCTTCAACCAATTTTTTTTTGGTAAACTCTTCAACCAATTTATTACTTCGAATCTAATAATTTATATCTCAAACAAAAAGAAATTCCACAACTCAACAACAGCTACTAATCATTTGTAACTTTTTCACCTAACGATAATTTCTTAAACTAATAATATTTTTCACTGTATGACATTTTAAACAAACAAAATCAAATACTTGAACATATATTTATTTGTATTTGAACTTTTAAAATTAAATATGAAAAAACTACATAACAATAATTAGTTATTAGTTATAACTTGGGGCGGAGTTATAGTGTTTTTAGAGGGATATAGAAAAAAATTTAAAAACATTACTAATGCAAGTAAAATAAATAAAAAATATAATTTTGAATAGGGATGACAAAACGTGGATCAGGTTTGTTTGGTATCGATGTCTGATTTGAGGGTGAAACCGTCCAACATGAACATGACATGTATACATTTATAGGTCACAAATTCAAACCTAGACACAACCCCAAGCAGGTTCTGGGTCACATGAGTTGACACGCACAAATTGAAAATTTAATTTTTTTTTAAAGAAATCTTGAAAATAATTAAATTTTTTGAATTAAATATGCTGATTTACTCGTGATCTGCAGTGAGTTGTGTCAAAATCATTAAAACTCAACTCAAGAATTACACAGGTCAACTCGTAAAACGACACAGTAATAATTTTAATTTAGAGTAAATATCTTTTTTGGTCTCTGATAATATTTACGAAATCGTTTTTAGTCCCTAACAATAAAAAAGGACCAAATTGGTCCCTAAAATTATGAAAAAAGGGCCATGTTAGTCCTTATGTCAACTCCTCCGTCACTAACATGGCCCTTTTTACATATTGTTAGGGACCAATTTAGTCCTTTTTTATTGTCAGGGACTAAAAAAGATTTCGTAGATATTGCCAAAGACCAAAAATGGTGTTTACTCTTTAATTTATTTCATTTTTTCAGATTTGAACACCATCGGTTTGATTTCATGGATCGGAACAATATATATTTTAACATGTTATGACATGGGTGGAATCGCCGATCATGATATGTTTTGCCACTTAGGAGTTCACGGCCATAAACACTCAATAAGAGCTGTCCATGGTTTTAAGTTATCGATTGATTGATCAAAATCTTTTTTAATATTATATATATTGCCACACACTGATTTTAATTGATTTAACATACGTATACGTTTTAATAATTAACATGAGATCTGTATGTTACTATGTAATTGCATTATAATTTTGTGATAGACTGTGACAGCTATCAGCAGAAATTAAATGGAAAAAGATTCTTCTAATGGTTATCCAATCATATCCTATCCTGATGCCAGGTATACGCTCTATTAATTATACTAAGAATTCTTCCCCTATTTCGTAATAAAACTAATTAAAAACACACTACACGAAAGTCTCAGCATGATTATAATCTATCTACTTCAGTCCTACCCAAATACTTTGTTTCCCAAAAAAAATTACTCAATTGTCATGTAAACAGTAGAACTTTTTAAAATGTCAAACGTACAAGTTCGTTTCGGTAGATAGGAACATCATTTGCTAATATGGCACATTTTTTATGGTCACCTAGTTCATTATTGGTAGTATCAAACTACGTGGTCAAAATATCAGTCTATTCTAACTATTT